TGTGTCAGTGAGTACATACTGTATGTAATAACACAGGAGATGTACATGTAGTAAGCCCAAAATATCTTCAAAGTCTTTCTGTCTCACCAGAGAAACACAGTATCTACACCAGGACAATAAGAACATAAAAGCTGCACATGAGGAGAAGATATTCTTTGCCCATCCAGCCTGTTTTGTGGCTAGTAGCCAACTGATCCACAGACCTAGTCTAGCCATTTCTAGAAAGACAACAAGGAATCTGCTATTACAGAACCATTTCAATGTTTGCATGAATCAGGTCTGATTTAACATTTTCAGCACTTTCAGAATGTTTTAATGCCTGGACACCTTATGCATTTTGGATCTAATTCAAATGAATGAGAATTTCAACCGTTCAGCTAGGCTAGGATTATATGGGGGAAATTGTATTTAATTCATTTCTCTTTTGTTACCCATGCAAGCTCTCAAAGCTGCTTTTGTTTTCTTCGAAAAGGGGGTAGTGGTTATAAACTGTTTATATTTGTCAGTGTTAGTCATTTTAAAGGCCCTCATCAGGTGCTCTGTACTTTTAACAAGGGTCCTTTACTGCAGTATATCACAGATTCTATTGTGGGATTTCTTGAGAAAAAATATGCAGTTTCCTTGGCAACTTGCATATTAATATTATACTTCGAATGGAGGCCTTGCAAAAAACGCTATGGGAAAGAACATGCTCCCATGTTTACTGTTTACGATATGTATAAAATAAACAAACAGTTTTTTTAATCAATATTTTGCCTGTCTCATTCAATAGGTATTCAAACAGACAATATTATGGTTACATACCCAATATGCTTGCTGTCAGTGTTCTGTATTAATCATTGTTGTTTTTTATATCTTTATAAAATTGGTTTTAATATATTTTCGATCACTGCAGCATTTATGTTTTTTGTGTATTCACAAATGTATTTATTGTAGACAGACAAGAAAGTCAGGAAAAAAATGTTTTTGAACTATATTCCATCATAAAACTGTTATGCTTTTAAAAGTTTTTATTGAATGTAGAAAAAGCTTAAATAAAATTATCTTTTCTATCCTTACATTTACTCAGAATCTGATTCAAAATGATTAAAGGAAAGACAAGGAAAAAAATATAATGTAGTTACAGTCGTAACTCCCAATAATAAGCAGTTCTTGGTGTGCTTTTGACCAAGAAAATTATTTTTAACTGTAAAGGTTACTGTTATTTAGTAATGGTTTATTTTAGTTGAACATAAGATAACCATTCCAGTAATTTATCAAATATAATCAGATTAACCTAATCTAGTGAGACAGTTTTTTTCAGCAGATATTATTCTGTAATCTTTCTAGTGAAAAGTATTTTAAGTATAATGTTCACTAGGTGCTTAACAAAGAGGTCTTGCTGTTTCAATCAGGTAAGAACAATTCATGCAATGGCAATATCTATATCCTTCCCCGCAATCTGCATAACAATGTTTTATATAACTTTAGAAAGTTTTTTTTCATATTTTTCATTGTGAGTTTAACTGGTTTGTGATGATTGCTTTAAATGTGTTATAAAAAAGCTTTTGCTTTTTTAGAATCTGTAACAGCAGAAGTCAATTGACTGTCCCTTTTTAACTTGTAGATTTGTTTTTCTACTTTGCTAGTATTTTTTTCAAGGAACACCACAGGGGTCAGCTCCACAGCTGAAAGATTCGTTAAAGTGTTGAATGGAAGGAAATGGATTGGGGTGTTTTTTCCAGACAGCATGAGGAATGTCAGGTTGTGAATTGATCCTTTTCTGTCCCAATAATAAACCACCATTTGGCACTGTAAATCGGAGAGTAAAAATCAGTTTCCCCTGTGATTAACAAGTTAACTACTAAGCATCCATAGACCACCTTAACATAATGGAGAGTCTCCCCTGTGACTGCTGAGTCTAGCCATATAAAATGATTATTACAACAAAGACATTCGTAATTCCTAAGGGATCACTTTGTCAGTCAGAACTGTCTGAAGCAGAACTGAAGCTGTTAAAACCACCTCCATTTAAATTTTAGACTAATTTAATGATACTATTTAACCACAACATTTTTATAGAGCCTTAAAAAATGAAATGCCAAAATCACACAGAAAGCGAACTTCCACTAAAAATATAAAATGAGTTAGAAAGCAGAAGGAAGTTGCTCGTTGGTTTTGTTTTTTTGTTCTCTCTTGATATTTGTTTTACAAACAATACATTGCTTTAAAAATATTTTTAAAAATACTAAATATCCACCACATAATAGCAAGATATGTTTCTCCCAAATATAATTTTCAAAATATGTATATGTAATAGAATTGGACTATAAAAAAGGAAGTAGTACCCTTGGACACCTTGTTGTCCATGTTGATGAATGTCTTGTCAGTGTCAGGAGCCATCTGTGAAGCCCCTGAAGGATCTGGCCCTTTGATAAAGGAAGCCTTTCTTAGTGTCGTGATGTATGACTTGGAGCCTGAACCCATCCTTTTGTCATGTCTCTTTGGTACCTGCGGTCTCTGTGAGATGATGGGGAAGCTCCTCCTAACCTCGAAGTGTATTTTGCATCTATTCTTTTCAGGGAACTTGGAGTCTCTGCCCAACTGATAGACCTTCAGTTCCTTTTCAGTACGTTCCTTCCTGTGGTCTTGAGTGCCTTGATACAAGCTTCTTTCGAATTGCCGAGTCACAACAGCTCCTTGGTACCTATGACAACTCTTTGTTGCTGGCCGTCACCTCTAGCCGCAGGGTAGATGAGCTCAACACGATTGTAGACTCCTCTCTTCATATTGCGCCTGACCGGTCGTGGGCCTGCCTGCACCCCAATCCAACCTTCTTTCTCTGGGGTGCCTCGGACTGAGAGCCCTGTCACACTCCTGTGCTAGTTTTGGGGGTGGCAGGGTGGTGCAGTGGTTAACATTTCTGCCTCACAGTGCCAGGGCCTTTCCTAGGTTCAGTTCCGAACCTGGGGTTCTCCCTGTGCCCACGTGCGTTTCCTCTGGGTGCTCTGGTTTCCTCCCACAGTCCAAAAACCATACTGGTTGTTAATTGGCTGCTGGAACAATTGGGCCTGTGAGCGTGTATGTTTGTATCTGTCTGTCCTGCACTGGACTGGCGTACTATCCAGGGTGTACCCTGCCTTGTGACTCTTGCTTGCCAGGATGGGCTCTGGCTCCCCCGCGACTCTGAACTGGAAGAAGAGATGAGAAAATGAATGGTTAAGTATTGATGTAGATTAAATCCCATTATCCCACATTGCTAAATGAAGACGTGTGGGTCAGAGTGATTGACGTAATGGGGATCTTTTGCATTGATTTTGCATACTAGCTCTGTGATGTGACACATTGTGTTTCAAGGCAACAGGGTCCTGAAAACCACCAGGTCGAGTCAGAATTTAAGTGAATGACAACAGCACCTGAAATCACATCAGGCAACTAGTGAAAAAAGGCTTTCACGGTCACGGCACATTTCAGGGTTCAGGGAAAATAATTACTACTTACAGAACAACCTCCTGATTGTCCTTAAATGATAGAATACTAGCAAGACACTAATGGTGATGGCTCAACGATATGGGAGAGAAAACACTGTGCCATTATTCCCCAGAACAAAGAGCTGAAGACTCGGAAAACCGTTCTGTGACTTAGATAAGGAACGCACAACTACTTATTCTTAAGTGAATTGTATCATTAAAATATATTTAGAATTAATCTCGTTTAAACACAGCCTTGCTAGAACAAAAATTGAAATTCCAAATCAATACTTACTGTATGACCAGACAGACAAGATGTGTTGGGGTGTATAAATAACTTTGGCAGAATTGTCCGAGGTGAAATAAATGGCTGTAGTTCTGTAGAGAAGTTGGTTGAGAAACGGCTCAACAGGAAATCACAGAATAAAATAGAATCACAGAGCTAACTTTTTGTATTTTCTTTTAAAGAAGAGATTCTAATACATCTTGTCACGGGTATCGCGAACAATCAACGGCTGTACTATCAGCAATGCTTTTGTATGCACAGTACAGCTGGAAAAACACATTCGGTTACAGAATAACTGATTATGAACTAATTGATCCATCTGATTATTATGTAGTAAACAAAGTTCGATGAAACGTCGGGGAAGCTATAAGAAAACAATGACTGCAATGGGATTGAAGGGAGGATGAGTGAAATAATTGAATGGGAATAAAAGTCAGTTTTAATTTGTTACGAGGGAGGTAATTGCACTAACACACTGGTATTGTTTAAAAGAATCAGGTTACAATATTGATCGCTCTGCACGTCCACAAGGTGTAACGTGGGAAAACGTGTTGCAGTGCCTCAGGTTGGCCGAGCAGCTCGGTACAGAGCCTGCAGCACCAGAAAGTACCGTAAAACAATAATAAAGGGGGACGTTAAAACATTGCCTCAGTTGTTAAACGTTCGTTTTTCAGTTTCCCAGGAAGCCCCCCAACCCGTTTTTCTTTTTCTTACCAGCCACTTGGATGCACTCGTAAGATTTTAAAAAAATCTATTTTCTATTAATTGGTACTCCTCTGTCCTTTGCCACATGCTCTATCTAATTATTAATAATAATTTTTGCCACATGCTCTATCTAATTATTAATAATAATAATTATAATTATTAGTTTAAGGTCCTCATACGCTGTCAAGGGGCCCGAGGATGCAAAATAAATTCTAGCGCAACAGAACACCTTTGCCCTGTGCATCTGTCCCGACGGTGACTTGTTTCGGCTAATCTGCTGACTTCATGTTCTAATATTTACAGTAGTAGCGTTATGTGTAACCAATAAAGGAATCCGTCTGTAACTAATTTAAGTTAAATCACGACTTAACGTGGTGTCCTCTTTCGACCAGAAGGGTTTTATTACAAAAAAAAAAAAGATGCTATGTTTACGTTTTCCGTATGCGCTACTGGCGCTCTCCGGGGGGTAATTACGGTAACACGCAGTGTCGAACGAGCTCTGCGATCGATTCCTCTGGTCTCGCTCCACGGGCACACAAACATTCCACACGCAGCGGAGAGAGACATGTTAGAGGCAGAGAGGAAACGGCAGGAGCAGCGGGGTTTGAGGGGCGGCGAGTCCCCGATTAACATCGAAAACATGGGCATTTCCGCCCTTGCAACCAAGAGAAAAGCTACCTTTCCTGTAAACGGAACTCGTTAGCTACCCGCTGGACTTGGTCTGACCCTGCTGAGTGATTTTATGCGCGAGTTATTTGAAGTTTGAAATGAGGGAGGTGGTGGTTTTGTCGACGGAGAGGTCTCTCCTGTTGTCCAGGACAAGATGGCAGCAGTACAGGCTGGCTGGGCATGGCATGGGTACACTGTAACTCCATAACATGTTCAGAGAAGCCCTGGATTCTAACAGTTGTTAATATCTGTGAAGGTAAGTCGGTTCGTTTTTCTCGATCTGTTTTCCGAGACACGCAATCTAACTCGGCAACAGCAATTCGGTTTTTTTTTTGAACGACAGGTTAAACACCACAAAGTTTAGTTAACTAGTTACATTGTTGCATAGTTTTTATATCCGATTAAGTAACCTTATCAGTCTGTTATTGAAGCGATTACTTCGTTTGCTTGAATTTTGACGTTTAACTCGCTATATTCCAAGTTTTAGAATTAAATAAATTTAATGCTTTTGATGGGGGAGACTGTTAAAACACTGACCACCACGAAAGTCCGCAGGTTGAGCAATAATTAAGCACTGATCGCCGAAAAACGCTATAATTATATCTTATTTCCCTGTCGATACATGAGGTTTGTAAAACTTGAGTTTGTTTAATGTTTTTTTTTGCGGATGTACTTCTTACTCGAGGTATGGCAGAGAGTTGTTTGTGCAAAATAATTCGTTCATCCTGACTGTGCGAAGGAAAACGACTTCTCTAAACATTTAAAAACAGCAGAACGGAAACGAAGGTTTGTAATCGGGATTTAAAAATATTTATCTTCGGTTCTGGTGATTGAATTACAGTTCTGAAGCGAAGTCAGGTATAATTGTGACTCTGACGGTTTTCACTTAAACCATATTGGACCGATTTAATTCTTACAGTAAGTTCTGTCATACTCACATAGGTCCGATCTCAGAGACTTTGTCGTTTCTCCGAATAAAACAGGCCAGATCGTGATTTGAAAGCTCCGGTAGACACTTCGTATAGGGACCTGTCCTGTGTTGTGGTGGGACTAACTCCGGAGGATTATAAAATAGAATTGCTGCAATTCTGGTGGTTTGTTCTAGATCAACGATTTCTTTGTGTGTCTAGGCAAAGGTTAGTTTTAAGTGCTGCCAACTTTTTTTTTTAGAAAGCGAAGAACGAAATCTTTCTTTGCAAATATTTAAGAAAAAAAAGTTATACTTTTCAGTAAACGGTCCAGTTGCTGCATAGAACTAGCTGGTCTACTTAAATGATTTTGATCCCGGGTTTTAAAAAAATAAACAAGAGAAAAACTCATTTAAGATACACAGCATAGAAAACAAATACTAAAAATAATTTTGTTTACCAGTAGCTTCAGGTTTGAGCCGATGAATCATAGAATGGGATCAGTTTCATTTCCCACAGTTTGTTCCTTTAACAGATGTAGGCCTGTAGTTTAAAACTGAAGATCCAGGTACTTTCAAGTTCATTTTTTTTCCATATGAACAAGGGAACTTCCTTGCCTGCAGATGTCTGAGCTTGTTTCACATGGTGTGTGATGTGGCTAAAATATCAGACTATGATATAATGTGAGAAGTAGATAAGATCCAACGGCATTTTTTGTTACCTGGTTACAGACTAGCCAGCATAATTCCTCCCCTATGGCTAGCATGAAATAAATATAAAACACTACTGTTTTAGAAGAATGATCTTATTTAGCAGGGGGATAAGTCATGTAGAAGTCACAGGATAATGTCCCTGCCATCTGGCTAGAAAGCACAAAGGCTGGGCTTTTTTATTTACTCTGTCATTAGTAGCCTTGGAAAAGTATACGTCTGAAATAGATTGAGTGTTTAATTATGTCCTGACCACGTGCATAAGGAGGTTGCAGAAGGAAACTAGTTTCAGTGCATTCCTTAAGCACTGTTATTTAATCTTGTGTTGACCTAAACAAAACTGTTTTCATGACTGTTCATGCTTCAGTAGATAACATTCTCTAGCTTTTTTTTGTCAAGCCTCCTTGTTCTGTAACTACCTTGACACATATCCTATTTTTGCAGTTTCCTTTGTTGCAGTAGCTGAAGACTTCCTTTATTTTTTTTGTTTGTGATCTAAACTTTACCAGGTCTTCTTTAAAATTACAGTATTTACCATAGCTTCTGTAGTATTTATTTTTAATGGAAATAATCGAAATACTTTTATTAAAATTTCAGGTATTACCCTTTTGAGTCTTCTAGATCAAGCTAAAGCATTGGTCATAGTTTAGTTATTAAAGTGCCTAGGATGTTTGTATCACCCATTAATGTGAGAAGCACTTTTTTCCCCCCACAATTCTCTATAAAAGGGGAATTTAATTATCCAAGAAAAAAGTTTTAAAATGGCCTTAAATTAATCATTAAATGTGATTAGTGTATTTAGCAAAATTAACTGTCTTTTTTTAAACCTTGACATAGATTGTTATGCAACCATCCTCTGTGTCCTCAATAAGTTGCTCTGAAATAGATTTTCTTTTTTGAAAAAAGGGGGCCTGACCAAAAAAAAAAAACACATTTAAAAGTAAGCCAAACACAAATATCTTTATTTACAGTTGTAAACATTTATTTTGACCCTGCTATATGTATCCCAGAGGCATCAAGCAGCACAAGAATATTGTCTGTTTTATGAGCCAAGCTAAATTTCCTGGGAGAATGCAGGAGTGTGAAGACAAAGAATGAAAAAAAAAGTTATGTGACTAGTGACCTGACATTTTGGAAAACATGGTCTCCCAACTGAGCCCCATAGGTTTGCATAGTTAAAGAAAGAAACATTCTTCTTTTCAGCCTGTGGGTTTGGCTAATGTGCACCAGTGCTATAGATTTCTTTCAGGGCATTGAACTTGTTCTATCTAGTGGTTAATTGTAGTTTGCGTATCTTACAAAATGTAGGATGTGTCATTTGTCTTTTTTTTTTTCCACTGCACTGAATCATAGTTTGTTTTGTTCTGAAAGCAGATTCATGATGTTTCTCTCAACTTTATAATCCATTTTGTTAGTGTCACATTCTGCAGTCACCATTTAAACGTACTTTGTACACCTCCCCTTCCGAAATGTCATGTCTTGATATATCTAGCGCTGAAGTTTCCGCTTGAACACTAAACAGTGCAGCAGTTAATGTCAATCTTCATGTGTGTTCATGCAGCCAGATGAATCGGTGATGCACACTGTGATGCAGTGCAAACATGCCATAAATTGATCAGAACAGCAAAGCTGAGCCTGTACTTCAGGTGTTTTTTTTTTGTCTGTGCAGCCGCTGTTGAGCTCACTCTGGTTACTGTGATCCTCAGTATGTGCGTCATTACAAGCGCAGATGGTCTTGTCACCATTGTGCTTCAAGATAAGCTGACAGGTTGGCAGATGAGTTACCTCAGTATGAGTGAATTTGCTGGTTCATAGTGAGGCTTCCTTTGCTGTGTGATTCTGCCTAGTCCATAACCTTCACTGCATGATGTTTGGTGCAACAAACATATCGCAGAACTTCCTTTAGAAGTTTTTATCAATATCGGCATGTATTTATTCTTTTTCCCATGTATGTGTTTTTATAATGTAGCCCTTTGCAAATCCCATTGAAGAAATGAGACTAAAACTGGGCAGTATGCCTTCATGTTTAACAAACGGAATATCTTGCATTCCCGAATTCAGAATCTAAAAGTTTGTGTGCTATTGATATTATATTATTTCAAGTGTTATCAAGAAATAAAAAAACAATGATTTTCCACATATCAGTCCTAGGGTAATTTATTAAAAACTAAATAAAAAAAATCTTCTTTGTGTGTAATTTGCTGAAAATCTTTTCTGTTGGATATGAAATGAACAATTACATGGTATTCCCTGCATGTCTTTTAACTTCAAAAGCAGCATAACTAAAACTTTCCCTTCCATTAAGGCATTGAATGTGGAGCCTTAAAAGCTTTTACTGAGGCCTCATTGTACTGCTGTGTCATTTACTGATAGACTATCTTAGCCTATTCTTCACTGTAAAAGGAGGTGAATAATACACCCTGGAAAATACGAGCTGGCATGACGAAATGCAGCAGTTTGAATGTCCTGTCTTTTCACTCTGTCACTGACATTTTCTGAAGTGAGTGGCTCGTGTTTTCTATTTTTTCTTAAACATGTATAACCAGCTTCTTTCTAAACTGGCTTGCTCTTCAAAACCGAGAGATTTTTACATTTTATTTTTGATTCATGGGTAAATAATTGATGTATTTCATGATTATTTGATATTATTAAATGTATTAAAAAAAGGTACAGGAGGCTCAAAACATGGCCTTACATAATATTGAGGAAGCTTGCCACCATCACAGCTTGTTTTGCTTATGAAGTCATAGCTTAAGTTTGTGTGTTGATTGCAGTGGGCTGTTGCAAATTTTACCTTTGGACAGATTTAATTTTGTGTCTGCATGCAAACCATGTGACATTTTATACAGTACACGGGTTGTGTTTCCAGGTACCTTGAAAGTTTTCCTTTTTTTTTGGAGGAGGAAAGTCTGACTCGGAAAGTCAGAAAATAATTTCACTAAAAGGGAGCAGTTTCACTACATGAGTGTTTGATCACTTGGCAGGTGCTTTATATTTATTTTCTTTTTCAGATTGATCCTGATTGGGAGCGGTCAGCAGCAAGCAATTACAGCCAGTAGCCATTAAAAACATAAAGCTGTGAGTCATGTCATTCGATACTATAGAGTCTTCTCACAGTTCCGTGACATATCAGGCTACATGTGGTAGTTATAGCAGGCAGAGCTTACATCTGGCATCTTGTTAGGTTTAGTGTTGTGATGACTTACTGAAGCGAGGTGCCTGTTGTACATCTTCGTGAAAAGGAAGTTTGTCAGCTGCTGTGGGTGGAGTTGATTTTTTTTATAAATACTTAAGGATGTAGTACTCATCTTAATTTTTGTATGCTTAATTTTGCATGATTGCAAGAAAGTATCCTGTGCAACATGGAAAGTTTTAAAACTCTGGCAATGGAGCAACACCAAAATATCCCGGTTCTCTCTCTTTTGGAATTAAAATGTTCAGTGAAAGATAATCTGTGGATCTCTTATTTCATAAGGTTGGCCTTTGGGAACGTTTGAGTTTAGCTTCATGATCAAGTATTGTATGTTTTGTCTTCTCAGGCAGAAGTGACAATGTTTTGAGATAGACATCTATCATGAGAGCAGAGTGAGACTGGTGTCCAGATGACTTTCTGGAGATGGAAGACTTCTAGTACAATG